GAATGAAGCAATGATACAATTGCTTCTATTTCCTCAAAATTGCTGATTTAAGTTATGGAAATATTAGATTTATCGTGATCACGGACACATCAGTTCGCTCTGATTGTAGCGTTTGACGGTGATCAGATCAGTTTCGCATTATATGCACTGAAGAACTGATTACGGTCTTAGCACAACCCCTCGGCGTAGACTGAACGGTCTCCGTGGTAGCTCAGAGGTAAACCCCAAACCGGTAATTGGTACGTTGCGGGCTCGATTCCCGTTCGATTCAGAGGAAAATTTTGCTCGAAACCGAGTGGTGTACCAATTTGATTAATGTTGTGAGCCTGAACCAGGCTATGGTCCGACGGCTTGTATCTATTATCTAATTATCTGTTATTATTCGGTATAATATTTAAATTATTTTCTCACCACCGTGCCATCAGCAGTACAGTGAGAGAGCTGATAACATTGCGTTGCGCGTAGTTCAAGAGAGTTCTCAAGTTTTGACTGTGTCTAAGCGAAAATTCTGAGGAAATTCTGTGTGATTCAATGGTTTTTACAAAATATTTGTGTTCGATCAAGTCATCTGAATTTTGAAATTTTCTTGAATCTTCTGGGGTTTTTGTTTCACATTCTGCAATTTTGGTCATCGTTGAATTCTATTCGGGCGTGTGTTATTGAGTCGCACATTTGTTGATATAAACGGCGAACGTTTACGAAGCTCATTGTCAGATAAAGAGTCGAAATGAACAATTAAGGCAATTTTAATTTCAGTTTCAACGAGTGTTTATGTGTCGGAGTGAGTGACAAAACAGCATGCATCATCGTTCACAGCCGACCGCAAACATTCAAGGCAAACTTCAACAGGTTTCTCATATTCTTACTCATATCACAATGCTTGATTCACATTTAATTTTGCTTCTTTGCAAGTTTCCAATGATCCGATAAGATAAACCAATCGTATTGAGTTTTAGTAAGATGGATTTGATCAAATAATTGAATGCAGTTTGAAACTTGGTGACATTGGATAGGCAAATTAAATTCGCTTGTCGATCATTTGATTTACCTCATTATGACGAACAGTTGATGGTTTGCGCTTCTGTGTGAACAGAAGTTGATCTGATGGATAATTGTCGTAATCTTGGGTGATATCCACTTGAGGATGATGAGTGGCTGAAGTCTCTGGAAGAGAATGTCTCGAAAAGTGATTCGTTACGAACGCAGATCATTGGGATGTTGGATAGTTTCGAGCAGCGATTGTCGAGACTCGATGAGACTGTTGTACGTTTACATCAACGAACAGCATGCTTACAAACGAAGCAGTCAAGTGGGTTGTTTGGCTCGAAAATATTCGCAATCTGAGTTGATTTCAAAGCTCATCGAAAATCGTTATCGCAAAATGTTTCCATCGTAAATTCAAAGTTCAATTTTTTCAAATTTGAACGTTTAGACATAGCGAAAGCACTGAAAATGATCGATGCCATGCAGCAGTTCTACGGGAAAGCCGCGGAATTGGAGAATTCAATCCGAGAGGGGAATGTGACGTTGGATAGGGATAATTTTTTGAAGCGTATGGAACAGCTGGCCGAAGCAATCACATTTTTCTCATCGCAACCGACCTATCGAGATCAATTGGAGAGTATGGTTAGGGCTGGAATCAATTTATTTTTGAAATCAACGATTCAATAATCTGTTTTAGATTTCATTGTGGATTGATTCTCGCAGAGCTCAACACTCTGGGATTATAGTGGTTGTGCTAATGGTGAACTCAAATATTACATTTCAGAATCTGACATTCGAATCGGGTTGTTGTGCGTTGGAGAAAGAGTTTCGTAGTGTCGTTCAGGCAGACTCGATTGTTGCCGATGCAGCGATGATCATCGAGAGTCTCGATCAAGAATTTGGTAAGTGCGAAGTGTGGTTGCGATTCTCTTTTTGATAACATTCAGTTGGACAGAAATTTGATCATTTGCTACTTGCATAACGGATTATAGCCAAGGAAATTTGTTGAATGAATAGTTACTCAAACTTACGATTAGTTTGATTTTGATTTATCATATGTTTTGAGAGAGTGTGAGGTTTTGAATTTTGCTCTTTGTTATGTTATCCCCTAATTGGAAGTATATGCTCGAATTTTGTCCGACGTCTTGATCTTAAAATCCTAATGTTAGTATATTTGATTCAATTCATGACTGAATTTCATTCTAAAAATATCACTGTGTGAGTTTAAGTTCTAGTCTGAATTCATTTCCACAGCTTAATCCGAAGCAGTTACTTGATGTGATTGAATTTAGAGGTGATTGTTGCTCGTTTGAAAGAGATTCCAACAGTGCGCGATATCAGTCGAATTCGTGACATTGGACGTTGGTTATTGAGACGTAATCCGCACAGTAANTAAAGACTTTGGCAACTATTTATCAACACGATAACATCAATCGAGCAAAGTTATCGATTACGACACCGCCAACATCTAAAACATCAGCAATTTCGTTGAGACAGTTCGTCTTTTTTTGTTGTTCACTTATTGCTAGCCTTTATGAGTGTTATCATACGCAACATAATTGTTATTGTTTTAGAGAATTTGATTATTATTATTATTATTATTATTATTATTAATTTTTATGTTTGTTCCAGTCTAATTGATTGTTGCTTGAATAATTCTTGTTTCATATTCTGAATATCAATATGAAATAAGCTTATTAATTCAATATTTTTGACAATGATTGCATTGTTTTAGAGCACTAAGGAAGGCGACCGGACGATCGATTGATAAATATGGTCAGACACGCAGTTGAAAGTTTGATTGTTTTCAAAGAAATTTGTTCGCTTTTAAATCTGAATTTTTGAAAATTCAATTATCGCTTTTTTTCATTTGTTTATTGGTTTGTCAGTGGTATCATTTTAGTAATGCCAACACCGGACAGTTGGCGTGCTTCAAACGATATAGTTTACGCGATTCTACTTACTTTTGGTGCTCTATTGGCTTTGATTCAGGTGCTTTCTTGTTTCATTCATTTGGATTTGTTAGTATCTACTTTCAGTTTTGGACAAATGAAGTTTGAAATATTCGTTTTTTTTGCGAAATGAAAACAACCGAATTAGTGATTATTATGGCCATGAAACACGGAAAATTTTAGTAATAGGAGTAGTTGAGGTAGTTTTAATGGTATTGATAGATTCGAATTTTGTCAAAGTTTACCAAAGCCTAAGCCATGATGATTTGTTGCAGATACGATAAGTGATTAATATGGTTGGTGATAGAGTAGTCTAGTGATAATAATTGAGACAATTCAGTTAGTTGTTTGATGAGAGCAATGAGTTCAGATTGAAACGGATTTAATGAACAAGGCGATTGATGATGTGAGCGCCTGTGCACGTGTGCAACGTGAGATGTTCTCTAAACCACTGCAGAATGTCATCGAACGAGCGAATCGTCTCTTTAGCACTCTAGACTGCCCAGTAGTACCATTATTGCCACTCTTAAGACATACTTATGCGCATTGCAATCAGTTGAGTTCGTTGTCGAAAGTGAGTTTGCAATCGAATTTTTTAAATAATCAAATATTTTTTTGGAAACTTTGTTGTTGGGATTTGAAGCTGATTATGAAGTCTGTTCGAAGTTCTTGTTAAACTCTAATTCGGTGTATTTAGATTCCAAGGGAAAGTTGTATTTGAGCTTAAAGTTCTGGCGGAGAATAACATGCGTGTCTCATTTAATTCAGTTTTGTGCAAATGATTTGGAATTCAGTCCAGAAAGAAAATTTTCGTATGAATAAGCACCTGAGGATTGCAGTTGAAGATGTTTGCTTTACAAGGATTTTGTTTTGCACGTGATGATAAGATGTAATATTTTCAGAATGCAGTTGGTGAAATTCCATATGAATTATTTGTGAAGAGATTACAAACGAAATGTTATTCGTTGTTGGATGAGTCGTTGGATAAACTCACGAATGATACGAATAAATTTGTTCCAGACGATGGGAACGTTCATCAAGTTACTTCGAATGTGCGCAAATTCGTATTTTTTAATTTGTTTTGTTTTTCTGAGGAGAAAATTTGGAAATATTTCAGTAGTGTGAAATGAATTGTTTTTTTGATTGATTTCAGGCACTTAATTTGTTGAGTAGTTTGATGGAATATCGTCAGACGGTAACGCAACTTTTAACCGCAAATTCACCGAATAGTAATCCATCGTATCTCCTTCCACGATTCTTTGGTAAGTGAATTTTTTATTTGAGTTGTTGAAAATCAGTTCGGTTCACTTCATTTTTGTGATTGATTTTGTTTCAGCAATTTGAGGATATCTGTTGAATTGACTCTCATTATGTGAAGCATTTTATAGATCTCATATGAGTGAAACTAATGGAACCGTAGATAGCTTTGTTTTTACTTAAATAAAATCATTATTTGCATTTCTCTTTAAGTTTGAATTTTCCATAGTATTTGTTGAATGATTTGTAGTTTTTTATTTCAGCGCGAATGCTGTCAGCTTTGGGATTGAACTTGAAAAATAAAGCCGATTATTATAGCGATGAAACGCTATCGGTGATATTCCTACTGAACAACAATACCTACATTCATAATACACTGCATAACGACGGTATGTTTGCGGTGGTGTGTGAGCACAATTCAGAAGTTCGTTCGTTTTATAAATCAGAAATTAATCGACTCATCGAAAGATATTTGCAAAGGTTTGCCTTTGAGATTTGTTCGTTCTCTTGATTTGTTGTTCGTTTTCGATTTCATATTCGGGAGATTTCTTGAGATTCGTGCAGTTATTTAAGTGTTCATTTATATTGTTTTATATATGGCATTTGTAGTTTTTAATAGTTTTGTTTTATTGTTGTTGTTAACATCTTTATGATGGGAATCGCTAGTGGTGTTGTTATTAGAAATGTTATTATTAATGTTATTATTATTATTGTTATTATTTTATTGGTTTCTAGTTGGGATCGTGTACTCGCAACGCTATCAGTTAACACAATTGCATTCGACGATAAGCAAACG